ATTTCCACATACATGGAAATCTGTGTGATTTCTTAATAAAAGTATGTGGATCTCTATGGAAACTTGTCCACATGATTCGATGCATAGAATTCCATGTGTTTCTAAGCAAACCTATGTGGTTTTATGTGGATCGACCTACCTAAAAATTTCATGATGTTATGAACACATGGCATTGAAGACTTGAACAAATTTATATAATAATTTACAGTATTAATTAAGGGGATTGTTATTCACACCCCTCCCATGATTAAGTGTAGTAATGTGACCAATGAATGGCTTTAAAATGTGATGATTGTATTGGTTCATCTTTGTCTTAGTCACAAGAGGGGTGTGAATAACAAAAATGGGAGGTGCAAATAACAATTCTGTTAAATATATTTTTCATAGATTGGTGGAAAATCCCAAAAGAATTTCACATAATAATTGCGAGGTTTTCTAACAACTATGTTGATGATTGTGATAGTAATTTGAATGTAAAAATAATTGATAATGATGAATATGATTGTAATTTGGAGGACAATGTTGATGATCATAGTGGTGAGAAAAATGATTTGGTTGCTTTAGTTGATGATATAGAAGATACCACAAGTGAAGAGTCTGAAGATATCACTTTAGTAGAATTTAACAGCTATGAGATTAAAAATAAAATCTCAAATGTAAGTAAGCCTACTATGATATTTTGTTAAATTATATTTGAATAAAATTTAAAATTAATCTTTATTTTGCTAGCTTGTAACTATATATCCACACTATACATGGAGTCAAAATTTAAACCCCAAAGTTGAAATGTTTCAACTTGAGGCAACTACATAGTAAAAATCAGTTTCAACCTTATTTCAACCCTATTTTGACCAGATCTGCAAATGGTCAGAATAGTTTCGACTTCATGCATAATCCACACATGTCAACAACCATGAGAATAATCTGTGATAACATACAAAATGAAGAACTAGATCCACAAGATTTACTTCCTAATGGCATTATTAATCATACTTTTTTACAAAATTATCATAAAAGATTGTTTGACTTCATTGTGAAATAAGACAAAATGAAGTTGGCAATTGAAGAAAAAAGTATGGAAATTTTACTGCACCTAATGGTCAAGGGGGCACCAAAAAAAATTGCCTAGGAACATTTTTGACCCAATTGAAATATGCTTGGGAACCAGGGTTGGCAAATATGTGGTCCATTAATGATCCATTGGTGGTCTATTGGGTCCATTAGTGTAATACTTTAACCATATTTAGTATTTTATTAATGGCAATGGACCAGTCCAAAATCCATCTGTTCTCAATGGACAAGTAAATTTGCCAACCCTGTTGGGAACTGCCCTTATATGGGCAAAAATCAACAAATGTTCAGGTGGTTAAATCAATTTGTGATTTACTATTATATAACATTAAGGGGATCAATATCGAATATAATGGTTATTATTATTATTTTTTCATTGTGAATTTTTATTAAATAAAAACTTTAATTTTAATTTTTTTTTCTGTTGATTTATCAAATAATAAGGACCATCTGAATCTGCTCAAAATCGGAACAGAGGACAGTCTGGACCAAAACATTGTCTCAATTTAATGGATCCATGAGTTTTAGATCTCCTAATTACAAATGGGAGTTCATGTTTTGCAAAATAAGCAATGGACCATATTCACTTGATTGGAACCATTATTGGGAAGATGAATTAAGACTTGGAAAATTTTCAAAAGACACATGGAACAATGTATATCTTTTTACTCAGAGATTCAATGCCTCAGATCAGTTATTAAAAGACAGGATGGATGAATTGAAATATGTAATGATACATTTTACAAAACAAAAATGGATATATATGTATTAGATTGTAAAATGAAGCCATTTTGTTGAAAAGAGCATCCCAACCACCCTCCATGTCTAGTAGGGTGTGATAACTTATTCCCAACATTTATAACACCTGATGGACCAACCTTTTAAATTTTGACATAATTTATGGATTCTATATATATATATTATTTTTCTTTCTATTGGAGATATAGGATATTAGTAAAAATTGTTGAATTTATTTATATTATTAATCTTAAATATAGGGAATTATTAAATATGTATATACGATTTAATTAATGTATAATTATTATTCATTTTAAAATTAATAAATCACATACAATAAAGTTTGAAATACTGTTAAGAAACTCTAATTGTGATTTAAATTGTTCCTGAAAATATCATCCTGTTATATCATATTAAATTCCATTTTATTAACATTACTTGTCCCATGGAAGTATGATCATAGATATAAACCACTGTTGAAATGTGGTTGATCAAAATAATGATTTTCCTATATAAATATACACTCCCTGGACAAAAGTATCCGGACACCTGTTTTTACTAATTACACAAAAACGCGCATAATAACTACACATAAAATTTTATCAAAATGTAGCTTAGGTTTTGGTGAATATGCATGTAAATTTTGATACTCTCAAAACGTCTAGAAAAATTTTAATTAAAATAATCCGAAATTCGACGAAAATTGCAATATCAATTTTTGTTTCTCAAATTTACTCAAAATCCTACATAATAATAAAAATAAAATTTATATCGATTTATAGCTTAGATTAACTAGAATATGAATACAAAATTTTGTAATTTTGGCTAGCATAGATAATTAATAATAAAATTAAAAAAATTGGTAATTAAAATCGGATTTATAAAAATCAAGATTGTCAAAATTTTTTTTAATCTTAAAAACGTAAAAATGCAAAAAAACGAAGAGGAAAAATTTTGTGCCTTCATGAAGGTACCTAATTGACCCTCGCAATCCTCAGATCTTAATCCAGTTGAACATCTTTGGAGTGAACTAGGGAGGCGATTAGATAAGTGAACATAATACCCAAAAAATGCCAACGAGTTGGAAGCTGCTTTACAAGAAGTGTAGTCAACGAACTCCATATGAAACTTACTACAAATTAATAGAAAACATGTCTAGAAGGATTGAGACATGCATTTCTAGCGATGGATGGCCGACTCGATATTAATATTAAGTTTTATTTCATTTTTTTTATTTACACAAAATAAATATTTTGTTGATTATCATCATTTTCGTCGAGTTTCGGATTTTTTTAATTAAAATTTTTTTAGACGTTTTGAGAGTATCAAAATTTACATGCATATTCATCAAAACCTAAGCTACATTTTGATAAAATTTTATGTGTAGTTATTATGCGCGTTTTTGTATAATTAGTAAAAACAGGTGTCCGGATACTTTTGTCCAGGGAGTGTATGTACATATAAATCGAGCTTAAATTTTAGTCCACTGTTATTATTTAACATCCGTGATATTCATATAATTAATACAAATGGAAAAACTTCTAAGCTGTTAGAAGAAATCTTTTATAATAAAAATAGTATACCATATCTTTGATAAAATCCCATGTTGTGCGTGAATTTATTTGGTTCACGGATCATGAACTAGTAAATAACAGCAAACAGTAATAATGACAGTGTCAAACCTGATGGGAAAGTAGAAGATATTTGTCAAAAAAAAAAGAAAAAAAAGCTGGTATGGTGCGAATCATCTAAAGACATCCCTTGCCGCGCCACTTGCCGACTCTCACGATTTAAAAGCGTCGACAGCCAGAGAGTATAGTGGAAATTTGAAATGTTACATTAATTTTTTATTTTGTACAACGTAGTTTTACAATATCATGGCAAACATTCTGGCAATAAAAAGTAAGTGATAGAATTGGATCTCCAATTTAGAGAGGTAACGACTATATACTGGCGAAGTTTCAGAAGCAATGAATTCTGTACAACATTTTGTGTAACAAAAAACTTCCACTATGCCCAGAGAAACAACAGGGTCGGAGCACCGGTCATCAAAGGTAGGTGCTGACAAATGAAGGCATTTATTTGGTGTAAAGTTTGGGCATTTTATAATTTTTTTTAGTAACTAATCTTGGATTTCTGATCTTCATCCACTATGCTAGTAATATCTTGTGTTTGGGAAAAGTTATTGCATATTATTATTATGAGTTGAAAACCTGCAGGATTTTTGAATATATCAAAGTTTATATCTAAATATTTTTCATGTGAAAACTTGACAGGAGGTGATATTACAATTCATATTACGCCAGAAGACGTAGTTTAGTTTCTGGGGACATGTTCATATTCCGGTTTGAATTCTGATTTGATCTTAGTAGATAATGATTCTTTTTTTATTTAGTATACCAAATGCACAAAATATTCTTAATTGATAATCTTGAGTGCCACAGTATTGATTTGCACAATTATAAAAAAGCTTGACCATTTTGATTTGACGGAGATATATAATAATAGAGTTCTCCAGTCATATTAAAAAATTTAAAAATCTAATACTTAGTTCTGTGGCTTAAACTGAATATTAAAGTTAATATTCATACTAACCGGAAGGAGCAAGCGGTCGACTCGAATGAATAAATTAACCTTTATTACAGGGACAGTTACATGTTATATAAATTTTTCTAATAAACGGTAGTGCATTGTTAAAATAAACCACCTTAATTGTTCCACACTTCAATTATTCTCAAGCTTCTAACTACTTGCATTAATTAGATGCATCAATTATTTAATCTCTAAAAGAAAAAACTTCGCGTAATAATTAAATAAATAAAAAAAGTAATTAAAATACTAGTAAAATGATAAAAATTCTAAAAATAAAAACAATGTTCGCGTAACTCTTATAATGACGATCAATTGAGTAAAGATCCTCGGTATATATTTTTCTGATGAAAATAATTCAGATATTATAAATGATTAGTAAAAAATTATATATCTATATATCTCATAAATAAAAAAAAAGAGTTTCCTATTTGTGTAATGTTTATTATTATGTCGTTTATATAAAGCTTGATTTAAATTGTATTATTTTTAAAAAAGTACCTTCAAAAGATGTCAACTAGTTTTTCATCCTTGGGAAATGTAAATACTTCATTTGATAACCTCATTAATTCCAATAAAGATTATTTGCCATTAAAATATATTTGTAAACTTGTAAATGATTTAACAAAATGTTAAATGAAACAGAATTTATGATGTAGAAATCAGAATTGGAGTGGGACAGGATGTTAAAACTTTTAAAGCTCATTCTACAATTTTAAAAGCAAGGTCTTCATATTTTAAAGTTGCATTGTCTAATAATTGGATAAGAAAATCTGATGAGTGTATAATTTTATTTGAAAAAGAAAACATTTCTCCGAATGTATTTGAAGTTATTTTAACGTAAGATTGATTTAATCTACTATGTTAATTAATAATTTAAAGTATTTAACATTAATTTCTTAATTTTGGGTGGTTTTTTTTAAAAAAAGACATATTTATAATGGAGCTGTGAATGTAGATAATTTGAGTTCAGAAGAGACTCTTGAACTTCTTGAAACATGCGATGAATTAGATTTTAACGAATTAATTGAAGACTTACAAAATCATTTAATTGCAGAACAAAAAAATTGGATTCAACATAATTTAGTCAACTTTCATAAAATTTCATCAAATCACCAATTGTTCAATTTGCTTCATGATTATTTTGACGAGTTAATTTATGACAATCCTCATCTGATGATTGTAATGATATTGAAAAACCTATGCTCATGTCTATATTAAAAAGAAATGATTTGGAAGTGAATGAAATTAACATTTGGAATTGTGTTATTCAATGGGGAATAGGACAAAATGAGAAATTGGAAAAATATATTTCAGAGTGGAAGGAAAATGATTTTGTCACGTTAAAAAATATATTAAAGACATCATTCCACTGATAAGATTTAATCATATTATAAAATTAACAAATCATTTGATAAAGAAATATATAAAGAACTACTACAATATTATCTCAATGATAAAATTGGCAACCAATATTATTACTTTCAAAAGGTCCAAGATCAAAATTAACAAGAGGAAAATTATTGAGTTTAAAGAAAATATGTTTAATTTCCAATTGGATTCATGGGGAAAAAAACTTATACAGTGTAAGTAATTTTCCTTATAAATTTGAATTGATTCTTAATGGAACCCGAGATGGATTTTCTAAATCTGTCTTTGAGAAAAAAGTTATAATATAGAACAGACAGTAGTTGTTATGAAAATCAAGGAAAAAGGGAAATTAGTTGGTGGTTATAACCTTGTTTGTTGGAGTAGAAAAGAAAAGTCTTCAGATGACATGTATTGGATTGAAACAAACAAAAGTTTTATCTTTAAGATTGATAAAAACCAAATAAATGATTCAATATTAAGTAGAATCAAAAGTCCTAAAAATGCAATATGTCATAGTAAAAAAAATGTTGTCATTACTGTAGGTGAAATACAATTTCATGAAATTAGTATGAATTTTTATGATTTAGCATTATATAATAGCATTAACAATGAACCTTATTGTTATTATCGTTTTAATAACAATCCTGATGATTTTTATGAAAATAATTTGAATCTTATAAATAATGATGTAAAAGTAAGTTCATTTGATAGAAGAATTCGAGGTGCATAAATTAGTAAATAAATAAATAAATATCGAGCTTCGTTATTTTGAATAGTTTTTCATCATTAGGAAATATAAGAATATTATTCAACAGTTTTACCATTAAAATATCTTAGTGAACTTGTAGATATTGTTAAACGTAAAGCTCCTAACGGGTCGAGCTCGGGAGGGTTAAGTGTCAACCCGAATGTGAACTTTTTATTTGGGAAAATCAAATTTCAAGTTTTTCAAGGAGTTTGCTATACTCAATGCCACATATTCTTGGCCTTTGGCAAATATTTTTTCATCAATAGAGATGGTTATATGAGGCAAGGTCAAGCCCTGTGTTTTATGAACAGTCAATGAGAAGGCAGGAATTATACAAACTTTAAGAAAATTATTTTCATCACTCATTATTGTAATATGTGTACAACAAACATTACAATAATAACATTTTGTCTTGACTTGTCTTGATCATAGTCAGGTTCCTTTTTCCTTATTATTATCTAATGTTAGATAACACAATCAAAAATTAGGAAATGTATTATCATCGCTCGCTATTACAACGCATGTGCATAACCAATGTTACAATATAATAAATAGGATAACACTTGTCCTGTATCATCTCGATGCTAGTCGGGTTACTTTTCCTTATTATTATTATTATGCAACTTTAGGTAAACATGATTGAAAAATCCATCACATAAATTTTATTAATATTAACTAATATTTATTAAATATTTTCATCATTCATTAACTATTATAACATGTGTATAACAACATCACGGTATACCATTATAACATTATGTAAATACACAATTGATCTAAAAAGAAATTGATTAAGATACTTTGTGTGTGCGTATGTATGTGTGTACCAACACACAAAATAAATAAAATATCGCTCCTTTCATCTCTTGATAAGTTACACTTTATCACCTTGTTCTTGCTCATTCCGACAATTTTTTCAACAACTTTTTCAAAAAACTTTCCTCTCTTAACAGTCTTTCTTTTGCATCCCATTGTTATCTTCATTTTTTTTAAATAATATGCAGAATAACTACTATATAAAAATGATTAATATGAAACTAAACCATATCAGATCTACTATGGAACCCAAAAATTATATAGTTGGCTTAGTCTAAAGGCCTCCTAAATTTTGTGCAAATTTTAAAAGTACAGATATAGAAGTTTGCCTAAACTACTAAATTTCGGCAATAGTTTCTTTAAATTAAAAAATTTAGTTTCAGTTTTCAAGCAAGCAAACGCCGAATAATTATTTTTTGCCGAAAACTAAATCTATGTGCCGAAACTATAAAATGTGTATGCCTTTTTTGTGTAACTAATGATTCATAAAGCATATAATAATAATATTACTTTTTTGTTATATAATGATCAAAATGATTTAATTTGAATAATTAAACACGTCTATTATATAGAAGTTTGCCTAAATTACTAAATTTCAGCAAATGCCGAAACTAAATCTATATAGCATAATTTCATCGATTATATTTTATCACGGGAAATTTTTTTTGTTGCATAAATTTATAAATGCGCACATTCAAATAATAAAATCTTTTTCCTTTCTTTATTTAAAGATAAAGATATATCCTGTCCTTAGACTAGTCAAGATTGCTGAAAGAAACCATTTTTCATGTTATAAAAATTTTTTAGAGAAAATCATCTACAAATTACGAAATTGAAAATGAAGGCGAAGTATCTTCCTAAATATATTATCAATCAAGTTAAGCAAATATATTCTTTGGGTGATCTATTCATTGTTTGCTTTGTGGGAATAATAAGGGTGTTTACATAGCTAATGAAGATTTTCAGATTTGAAATCATAGACTTAGATTAAGAAGATAATGATCCAGAATATGGTATTCAACTAGTGTAATTTTCCAACGACACCAAAATCTGCCAAAGCAAACATCTCACCAAACTTACCCTTTGTTGATACCAATCTAACCAAAGAATTATAACACCTTCTACATAATAATAATAATAAATGTTTTGCAATAATAATAAAATTTCTTGTATTTCAACAATAATTAATTTGTTTAAAGTTTCGGCACAGTGATTAAGTTTCGGCAAAGTAACTGAGTTTCGGCATCATCACAATTTAGTTTAGGCAAACTTCTATAGTACAGTAATATTAATAAATTTCATATTGACGCAAATCTGATTTTCACGCACAACATAGGGGAAATCAAATGATATTTTTGTCGATGTCATAAACACAAATTTACTATTAAAGAAACATAAACGGCCATAACTCATCATACAGATGAGTTTTTTTTTAATTCTGAAAAATGCTTTGAGCTTGCAGAACACATCTTTACAATGCAACAGAGCCATATTTTAAAAATATTTAGTATTTTCATATTGTTTTGTCACAAATTTTAAATACATATAAATTTAAAAAATCATATTAAAATAGCGTTGTTACGTTATAGACAAGGTTTCTAGAAATTAAAATCATTTTCAATTTTTTTTTCGCTTCCAAACTTATAAACTTTTTAAGTTTCCCGCTTGTTAATATATAGTAAAATCAGTAAGCGTGAAATCTTGTCTGACTGTTATATACAACTCTACTACTTGTATATGCAATTTTTCTTTTCTTTTTTTGAGTATTGAGGTTAGCTGTAACGGCCAAACAAGGGAAGTCTGGTGAGTTTGGAATCGAGATCTCAGATACACGCTCGCAACAGTCATTTAAGTAGGAAAAGAAATATATGAACAAAGAAATGAATATTTATGTATCATCAAACTACCTATCTATCAGAAAGATTGAGGTTTTCATTAGATGAGATTTTTATTATTCTAATTAAAAATTTTTGGATAAAAATTTTTTTAATTTTATTGTAATAAATCCGACAGGTAAAATTTTACCCATAACAATTAACATTATTATATATTATATATATTTATAAAATCCGGTGATGATTTGAAATTCCAGAACATTAATATTAACATGGTAACACCGAAAAACACGGATTTTACAAGTAATAGTATTTTTGGCACTGTGTCCGAGGACTGTTAGCAAAAAAAGTCTAATATTCTATTCATCACCGCACCTGGCTTGTGGGAATAAATTATTACAATTTACTGAGCAACATTTTAAAAAATCATCAGGACAATTATCTATGGGATGACCATCAGGAAGACAAAACACAGTTGTCGTGGCTGTAGTGGTTGACGTAGTTGTGGTTGAGGTTGTTGTAGGAGATGTAACGCTTGTGGTTGTGGTTATGGAGGATGTTTCGGTGGTTGTAGTGGTATCAGTTGTGGATGTGGTGGTGGGGACAGTTGTGGTTTTGGTTGTGGTTTCGGTGGGAGATGCAAAGAATACAGTGCTGGTCTTGGTCTTGGTCTTAAATACAACAGTATGACAGAAACCCCTGCTTGTGGTTTTGGTTTTGGTTTTGGTGACGAATACAGTCTTGGGGCAGGTAGTGTGTGCTTCAATATTCAATGTCAAAAGACAAAGAAAAATAATAAAAATAACGAAAGCAACATTATATGATAGTAATGACTTATGCTTAAACATTATCTAAGAATTAATATTATAAAGTGAGTGTATTTATTGTGAATTTATTTTTTTATGTATGAAAAAATTTATTTTTTTGGTATCGGAAAAAGATTATATATTTATATATGTGCTATAGATTAAAATGATTGGTGCGACTTACTGATTGAATTTGTGAATTTGTTTTGTTTTAATAAAACAATCACAGAATTTGTTGGAGCACCAATCAAAAAATTATTGTTTGTTATGTATATATATGAGACCTATTTCTTCGATACTAATACCTTACTACTACAAAACAAAACTTTACCAGATAAAACCATTAATTTTAGCAAGCCATCAGTCAGTCATTATACGATGTATTTTTCCACATTCTTGAAATTTCTTTTCGTTATTGGTTTGTGTTTGTTGACATTGAACATTGAAGCGCATAACCAACAATGCCATCGTACCAAAACCCTCACCAAGACTCGAACTAAGACAAAGACCAAATGCCGTAAGACCAGAACAACCACCAAGACCAAGTTCAAGACAACCACTATAACTGTTCCCACCACAACCACAACCACAACCATTCAAGCTGTTCCCACCATTACGACTGTTCCCACCACAACAACCACAACCACAACTGATACCACCTCAATTACCGAAACTACAACTATTCCCACCACCATCACCGACACAATAACCACAACAACAACCACAACATCCACGTTTCTCACATGTCTACCTGGAGGTGCACCTTGTAACAACGAGGATTCTGATTTTATTTGTTGCAATTCTAGATGTACATCAGTTTTTTCAGCAACTGTATCAAGTTTTACGTGTATGTAATTAATTAATTTGGCAAAAAGGTCCAATTTTATAATCCTATCTAGCCATTTCGTTCTACATAAACTTGTCTATTATTATTAATCGATTAATAGATTAGTCAATTTAATAAATTTAGCTTAGCAATAAAAAGATTTTATTTTTTAACATAAAATTTGAATCTTGGTTAAGTGAATCATTACAATTTGTTGTAAAGTCTCCAATTCAAGTTGATGATTGCATTTTAATAATATTCTAATAAATACAATCATTTCCTAGCGATTTCAAACAAGAATCGTGGTATGAAAATTAAAGCGCAAAATTTATTTAAATTGGGCCAAAATTTCTTGTTTCTTATTCATATTTTTACTATTTTGTATTTTTATTCGTATAACGTTGAAATTAGCGTCGCAGTTAGAATGTTACGTCGCTAGAATGCTAGATTGCAATGAAGTTGATATTAATTAATTTAATTGTATAAAAGAAGCTCAAATCCGATTTGCTTGTAAAATAACTTTGTCTTAAAGTTTCATAATAAAAATTAACTTAGAAATAAGTTAATAAATTAGTTTCGACTAAATAAAACGTTTTCTTAAATCATTAAACCAAAATTATTTGCTAATAAAACTAATTTGTTAGTAGCCAATTCATTTTGATCCACATAATCTTAAATTTTATATTGTTATCATCAATTAACACGCTCTCCCAAACAATAATTGGTGACAATATTTTAAATTGCGGGTATTATTTTTTCTTAAATTGTATCCTCTGCTACATCAATATTGTCAGTTTCATTACAGATATCTTTAACTTGTTGCAAAATCAATAATAAATCATCTTTACCTTTTGATTTTAATCCTTTAAACTGTGAACGATCAGTTTTACCCAAGGGTTCTAATAATGTTTGAATAACTGATAATAATTCTTTCTTTGTCATTGATTGTTCAGTTGAATATTTTTCTTCCT